TAATTTTTTAGATTTAATTAGTAGTAAAATCAAAAAATTGCAGAAATTAAGAGTTTATTATTACTAAAATATATATACAATAACAATTAGTTTAAATAACTACTAATAAAATTCTTCCCATTACTTTTCGAGATAAATAAGAGATATGGCAAGAAACTTTTTACTTCTGCATAACAATTTTTTATGCGAAATAAGCCCAGATATAATGACAATATTCTATTTACTATATATACTGTTTTTTATTTAACGTCTAGATAAAATTGAAGATTTAAAAAAATATATCCAAATATCCAACAAGTAGAAATTGAACAATTAAAAAAAAAAGATAACGAAAAAGTAGAGGGAGGAATTTGGTATAAGAGAGGGGAAAGAGGACAACGAAGTGGTGGCCGGAATGGAAGAGGTGGAAGAAGAGCCGGAAGGGGTGGAAGACTTTTTTATTTATATTACATTTTTACATCATTAGAAATTAATGCATAATTAAACAATAAGTAATAATTAATTTATTACATTTCAGAAAATTATTTTATATCTATGAAATAATCTTAATAAAATGAAGTAAAAAAAAACAATTTAATAACACTGAAATTAAAAATTTATTGCAAATGCCAAAAAAAACTTAACTTTTCTTAACAATTATTTACAATTTTTAATTAAAATTAACAACACATTATCAGAAACACATTAAATAATATATTGCCTCTTATCTTAATCGAACTTGTCAGGTTTTGAAATCAACAAGTAGTTAGTACAACTGTCAATTTATCTGATATAACATAGCATATAACAAATAAGCAAACATTAACAAAAATGAATTTCTACTAATTTATTTCCTCACATGCACCAAAAAACAAATCAAATTAATTTTTCGCTAATGAACCTTACCCAATCACATTCATATCACTCACACCTGTGGTCCTTTGATCGGCGCCTTCGACATAAAATTTTCAAAAGAATTGTTAGAAAAGCGAAGTCTAACAACAAACAAGCTCCATAAGTAATATCACTATAAGCAAAATAATACAATAAATAAAAACAAAGAAAAATAACCACACAACATACTAGAAATTGGTTCCATTGTATGGATTAAGTGTTCTAAGTGTCTAGTGAACGTTATAAGTGTTTATTCATTGTCGGTCCCGCTGTTTTTTCCTGTCCACGCCCGTATGGTGGCCAGATAGGTCCGAATGGTCCACGGGGGAAGCGAGGGAAGCCGTTTTTCATGATCGGTCGAAGATTTTTGAATAAAGTTTAATTGTTGTTTCTGCTCTCCTCGAAGGAGATGGATCTATCCAGTCCCTTTTAATTAAGGCACCCTCCAGGATCATAAAGAAAGTGTCAAACTATTTGTGTAAGTGGCCGAGTGACTCTGGTCGATTTGCTCAATAGAAGTAAAAGAAAAAGATCTTTATATCCATTTGTTTTTAATATTTTTGTTCTGCAAATAAAATGACAATACCAAGTTAATCAAACCCCTTGCAATAACCTGAAATAAAAAAAATCATGGAAAATAGTATAATCTTGAAACCACTACTGTTGCTTAGGTACCTAATAATGTATTTTCTGTAGGTTTTCTTTTAGTATAAATTTAAGGTAAAAAACAAGTTTACACCAGCTTAAATGTTCTTGAAACTAGTATAACACAAATAACTAATACAATGGACTCTACAACAAGCGAACTAAACTTCTGTTATACTTATCAGCTACTAATAAGATTTATATTACAAAGAAAATAATAAGTGGCATCGATATATTATATATATATATATATATATATATATATATATATATATATATATATATATATATATATATATATATATATATATATATATATATAATTCTCACGTATTGATTCACGGATGGAAAAATGTGATGACACTATATTCCGGGATATCATCCGTTCGCTCGTTGAACTCCGACTGGAATCCTGCAAATCCTGCATCCGACTGGAATCCTGCAGACGTTTCGCCAAAATCTCACTTGGCATCTTCAATGCTCGCTCTCCGAGTGTTCGAAGTGTATATATATATATATATATATATATATATTATATATATATATATATATATATATATATATATATATATATATATATATATATATATATATATATATATATATACATATATATATATATATATATATATATATATATATATATATATATATATATATATATATATATATATATATATATATACATATATATATACATATATATATATATATATATATATATATATATATATATATATATATATATATATATATATATATATATATATATATATATATATATATATATATATATATATATATATATATATATATATATAACGGGTGACAGAGTAAATTTCACTATTTAAACGCGCCTTGTACATCCAACTTAATATTTGGGGGGGGGGGGGGGTTAGCGCTGGTTATCAGTCAACATGGAGCAGTGGTCAAATGAGCAACGAGCGTTTATGGTCGAAGCGTTCTTTAAATCGAACGATTCGTATGTTGCGGCACGGCGACGTTTTTGTAACCGTTACAATAATCGGCGTTTACGTGATGCTCCGTCAAACAATTTATTGAAATCGTAGGTTAAAAGATTTAGACAAAGTGGTACAGTGGCAAATCAGAAGCGTCCCGGTCAACAGAGGTCCATCAGAACGCCAGAGAATATTGAGATTGTGCGACGTGCTGCGACTGAACATCCGAGGCGCTCAATTCGAAAACATGGCCAGGCCCTGAATATTCATCGCTCAAGTGTGCAACGGATTTTAAGCAAAGACTTACGGTTCCATCCCTACAAAATTCAATTGGTGCAGTTTCTAAAGCCCACAGACTACGAATTACGAAAAAATTATTGTGAGGCAATGATGAGTTTGGTGTGCCATGTCAGCTACTGGAATAATTGGGCCCCCTAAATAAAAAGGATCAGTATATTTAAAACACTCTTTTTTATTAATCGAGGTATTAGTTACAAGATGTCAAAATCAATGTAAACTTTTACTGTTTTCTTAACTTCAGCAAATGTTGTATTTTGGATTTTATGACGGATACACTTCTCTTAGGGTTAAAGGTTGTAATAAATTCTCTTATTTTAACTGACGGTGGGTAAGTGTTTGTTTGGAGGTATTGTGCAAACTCCTTCTGGATGCAATTCACTTCATTCTCGCTCCATACTAAAATAAAAAATATTTTTCATAAAACGTGTTCGAAAAATTAGTTAAGGTGTGTTTGTCGTTATTTTATAAATTAGTATTTGTCACTTACATCGTTTATTTACAACTTTGGAGACTTTTGGCTTATCTGAAAGAAACAGTGTTTTGTCAAAAACACACAACTGTTTTACTTGCATTCGCACTAGTATTATTAGTTTTTTAACACCACAGTAACAAAATAAATTTATTAAAAACAAATCTGACCTAAATTTTCGTTAACTCGCATCGGTTTATTTTTACCTCTTATTCTAATGAACCATGCCTATGGCAGTATAACTGAGTAAAAGTAATAAAAACATAGAGAATTACCTATATCAGCAGTTTCTTGATCTTCGTTCTTCTTAATGTTTTCAGGAATTGGTTGGTCAAAAATATTATTATTTTTATTCGCTTCAATATTTTCTTTTTTCCACACAAACAATATTTCATTGTCTTGTGTGGGCGCATTTGGTGACGAGGACTCTGAAACCATTTAGATATAAAATGGCAAACTAGTAGTAAACAGAAAACTTTTTGCATGACTACCTTTAGGTTCATTTTCTTCGGGATAGTCAATATCAATGTCCATTTCGTTTATCGATTTGCCTTTATATTCTACAGGAAGGGTTCCTTTTTCCATCATCAATGGTATTTTTGAAACCTTTGCGGTCTGGTAAATATCTACAGGCAGCCTGGAATAACAAGTATGAAATTCATACACAAATAAGACTACCTAATTAGCAAACAAAAAAAGAAGACAAGAGAAGAAAAGTGCCTCAACTATGCAAGTTCACACAAGTTATTTTTCTTCAATGGCCTTGTTTTTGTGCAATATTAACATGCGAAAGACAATACCTTTTGGACAGATCTCACATCTGTCCTTGTATATATATATATATAATTTTTTTTATTATTTTATTTTTTGGTAATTTGCAAAGAGAGAAAGTTTTCTTATGTTTAGTCGGGTTTTTGGGACAAATAATTTTGTGGGTACTCAAATAAAAATTTAAGTTGCTGGAACATTTTTTACCGCGGTATTGCCGTTAAAGTTTTTTTTTGGGTCAAGCCGATCGGGAGTGCATTAACATTCCGTGTGCGGCAGCACCAAGATCTGTTGCGCGTTTTCCGCGAAGGGAACTTTAATTCTAAAGATTTTCGTTGTGCGTTTTTATGTTGTCCGTGGCGTAACACCAGTAAGTTTTGCGAATTGAGTAGCAAAACTTACAGCAAAGAGGAAGCAGGCCTGCTGAGGAGACGGAGGCGTGCGCTTAAGGTGAGACCTTAAAGTTCTTTAGCGGCCCGTTTGGCGATCGGTAGTATTTCTAAATTTTTAAAGCCTACAGTCCACTTTAAAGCTCTTCCGAGCGCGCCGCCCTTTTTCTTTTCATATCGGTGGTTATTCCGCGAAAAGAAATTATTTGGTCCTTCGAGCCGGATTCGGCAGTTTTTAGCCTTAGCTACGCAACGGAAAACATTTCTCTCTTACAGAAATTAAAATAAATTCATTATTTCAATCCGCATTATTTTGATTTCGATTATTACCACGGAGAGGGCACAATTTTAATTAAGTTACTTGAAATTGGATTTAAACATTTTCTAATTCTTGAGCAAAACAAAAAAATTGATGACCTTCGCATTCCGTTTTATGTACCTTTCGTCCATACAATACGCAGTTGTTCATTTTAGATAATTTAATTTTTAGTCAGGTAAATAGAGCAGGGCACATAATTTAATATTAGTGTGTAAAGAGTTTGACCAGTTTTTATTAGGTTTGAACCGTTTACTTTTTACTCACCGAAAAGAAAAAAAATGGGTGATTATAAAAAGAATAAAGTACTCCGGTCGACTGAAATTCATAAATTGAACGAAATATACGATGTTGCTCTGAAAGTTAATGCCGAAGATGAAAGTTTTTATCCCATTCTTGAAGCTATGTATAAAGAACTTGAGGAAACTCGAACAAATTTTTATAAACTTCACAATAAAATTATATCAATCATATGTGATAAGCAAAATGCGGATGAACTATTCAAGATTGAGGATGATTTTCGAAAAAAAATCGATATTCAATATTATAGAATTCAAGCTATTTATACGCAACGTTTAATGAAGCCGACGACACAATCTGTGGCTATACCGGGTGAACAATTGCCCATCTCTGCATATTTAAATTTACCCAAGCCTGAGTTACCGACATTTAGCGGAGAAGTTACCGAGTTTCGGAGTTTTCTCGATCAATTTGATGCGCGTGTTCATACGGTCCCCCACTTAAAAGCGATTGACAAATTTAACCTATTAGTTTCTTGCTTGAAAGGTGTCGCTCGGGACGCTATCGACCATTTGGATATCACAGCAGATAATTACACAATTGCTTACGATTTACTAAAAGAAAGGTTCAATAATGTGAGAGTTATTGCTTCAAATTTATGCAATAACCTCGAATGCTCACCCAAACTTACCTCAGATAATTCAAAAGAGTTACGCTCTTTATTAGATACGTTTTCAAAAAATGTCGCAGCTTTGCAAAAACTAGGGTTACCCACGGAACACTGGGACTTTATACTTGTTCAATTGATGTTGAAAAGACTCACGGTTTCTCGATTACACGATTTGAACTTCATCACAACGACAGTACTATTCCAAGTTATGCTAAATTAAAGCAATTTTTAAGTAAAAATTGTCTGGCGTTGGACAATATTAATTTTCAAACTAAAACAAAGCAATTTTTTCTCAAAAAGCCAACTTTCTCCAACTCTACAGCAATGCTGGCTCAAACTGAAAATCCACCAAAATGTCCTGTTTGTAAAAATTCTCATTTTATTTATAAATGCAGCGAGTTTTTGGAAAAATCTCCCGCAGAGCGCTACAATCTGGTTAAGAGGGGAAAAATGTGCGTAAATTGTTTAGGCTCTCACCGTTTTAGTACCTGTACCTCTACGTGGAGTTGTCATATGTGCCACAAAAAACATCACACATTACTTCACTTTCAGTCACCCCCCGCTAACAATGATTCGCTTAAGCTCTCTGACCACATAAATCCATTAACCGTAACTGCAGGTTTTTCTTCAGCGAATTCGAGCGTTTTACTTTCCACTGCTTTTCTCGAAATACTCGACGGTCGCGGAATCTACCAGCCGATACGATGCTTACTCGATTCAGGAAGTATGTCGTCATTCATAACTCAAGAAACAGTTAGCCGGTTAGGCTTACGATCGTCTCCCCTGGAGGTTCGTATAAACGGCTTAGGCGCCATGCATTCGCAAGCTGATTTAGGTGGAGTAACTATATTTTTTAGACCGATGTATAAAACTCATCATGTTTTAACCACTGACGCTTTAATTCTGAAAAAAATTTGCGAAGACCAGCCTGCTTTGGATGTTAAACATAGTCACTGGTCCCGCTTAACTAATTTACACATGGCCGATGACCAATTTTCCCGCAGGGGACCTATAGACCTCCTTCTGGGTGCCGACGTCTTTTCTAAAATTCTGTTGGACGGACGCATCCCTTTATCTAAAGACCAGCCCGACGCAATTAGTATATTCTTCGGCTATGTCCTTATGGGGAAAATAAATCATTTCAAAGCGCCTGCACTCGCTACGTTGCTATGTCATCTTGAGGACACGGTTTCCCTTGATCAACAATTGGACAAATTCTGGGAATTAAAGACACTTCCTGATGCACCTCGTCTATCTCCCGATGACATTAAGGCGGAACAAACATTTGTCAGCACACACCGGCGAGACCAGCCGTCTGGTCGGTTCATCGTCGACTTACCTTTTAAGGAAGAAGCCCCTATCTTCCCAAATATCCGATCTCTGGCTTTACAGAGGTTTTATTCCCTTGAGCGGAGACTTAAGAAGCAGCCTGAGATTTACTCGCAATATCGCGATTTCATGAACGAATTTATTGCGCTTAACCACATGGAATCTATTCCAGACGATTCGTTCAGTCCCCTCACTGTTATTATCTATCCCACCATTGTGTTTTAAGGCCGGAAAGTTTAACCAGTAAACTAAGGGTGGTTTTTAACGGTTCCGCACACCTTCCCAACCAGCCTTCCCTCAATGATATATTCACCGGTCCAAAACTCCAGAGTGATATATCTACAATATTATTAAATTTTCGTTTATTCAAGCCGGCATCGTATAGTCTTAGGAGCCTACCTCGATTTAAAATTTAAAACTTAAATGGATAGAAGGAACGTCGGAAACCTAGCAGGATATAGTGTTTACGAAACCGCACCACTCTACGCGCTTTTTAAGAAACTCGGTACGAAAATTCGCTTATTTTTCGCCTCCGACGCGCCCTTACCGAAATACGGCCCTTTTTCGAATTTTTTTTTTCAATTTTAAAATGGCCATTTTTTTGAAAAACCGAGCAATTTTTTGCCCCATGGGGAACGCTTTACCACCCCATTTTACGGGAATCCGGTATCGGTTTCCCCATTTTCTTGATTTTGATACCCCCGCCGGCATCGTATAGAGTATTGCGAGCCTACCTCGATTTAAAATTTAAAACTTGAATGGATAGGAGGAACGTCGGAAACCTACCAGGCTATAGTGGTTACGAATCCGCACCACTCTACGCGCGTTATATTGAGCTCGGTACGAAAATTCGCTTATTTTTCGCCTCCGACGCACCCTTACCGAGATACGGCCCTTTTTCGTTTTTTTTTTCGATTTTAAACTGGCCATAACTCGAAAACGGTTCGTCCAATCAAAAAAAGGACAAAATTTTCACCCCCAAAGGGGTCGCTTCTCACCCCCCATTACTCCGATTTTTTTTTTTTCAAAAATTACAAAATTCGAGGGGGTAAAATTTGGAGGGGGGGGTTGAGACTTTGTCAGTCGATTCCCCACGCCGAATCGGCCGGTCCGCCTAGTCAATGATGCCGAGGCCGGTACGAAAATTCGCTTATTTTTCGCCTCCGACGCACCGTTTTCGGGATACGACGATTTGAAAATTTTGAAAATTTTTCCAAAAAACCGCCGTATCTCGGAAACGGTTCGTCGTAGCGAGAAACGGAGCGAATTTTGGCCCCAACGGGGATGGTTTCCGACCCCGTTTTACTCGGATCCGACATCGTTTCCGCCATTTTCCGGAAAAAAGTTCTTTCGGAGGCGGTAACTCCGCCCCCCGCGCGGCGCTTTTATGCGGGGACTAGGGCGGCATCTGATCGCCTTCGAACTTCTAACTTTCGTTCTTGATCAATGAAAACGTTTTTGGCAAATGCTTTCGCTTCTGTCCGTCTTGCGACGATCCAAGAATTTCACCTCTAACGTCGCAATACGAATGCACCCATCCGTTCCTATTAATCATTACCTCGGGGTTTCGAAAACCAACAAAATAGAACCGAGGTCCTATTCCATTATTCCATGCACACAGTATTCAGGCGAAGTTTTAGCCTGCTTTAAGCACTTGTCCAAAGTAAACGTGCCGGCCCACCTCGAAACTCAATGAAGAGCACCGCGGCAGGATTGAGTTGGACCGCCCGCGTGAACGGGCTAAGTCCACCGGCAGGACGTCTCGCGGCACGCCAGTTAACACCGCGGGCGATGAACCGGCGGCGCAAGACACAAATTCGACTACGAGCTTTTTAACCGCAACAACTTTAATATACGCTATTGGAGCTGGAATTACCGCGGCTACTGGCACCAGACTTGCCCTCCAATTGATCCTCGTTAAAGGGTTTAGAGTGTACTCATTCCGATTACGGCGCCTCGGATGAGTCCCGTATCGTTATTTTTCGTCACTACCTCCCCGTGCTGGGAGTGGGTAATTTGCGCGCCTGCTGCCCTCCTTGGATATGGTAGCCGTTTCTCAGGCTCCCTCTCCGGAATCGAACCCTGATTCCCCGTTACCCGTTACGACCATGGTAGGCGCAGAACCTACCATCGACAGTTGATAAGGCAGACATTTGAAAGATGCGTCGCCGGTGCGAGACCGTGCGATCAGCGTAAAGTTATTCAGAGTCACCAAGTTGAACGATGTCGGGCGCGAACCCGCCACCGATTGGTTTTGATCTAATAAAAGCACTCCTTCCGTCTCCGGTCGGACCTCTGTTTGCATGTATTAGCTCTAGAATTACCACAGTTATCCAAGTAATTGTGGGTACGATCTAAGGAACCATAACTGATTTAATGAGCCTTTCGCGGTTTCACCTCGAATTTGCGTATACGGATCGCCTTTGTATGCGGACCGCCTCCGTATGCGGACCGATTTCGTATATGGATCGCCTCGGTATACGGACCGCCTCCGTATGCGGACCGGCTCCATATACGGAACGCCTTTATATACGGACCGCCTCCAAATACAGACCGCCTTCATATACGGACCGCCTCCATATACTGATCGCCTCCATATACGGATCACCTCCATATGCGGACCGCCATTATATACGGACCGTCTCTAAATACAGGCCGCCTTCGTATACGGACCGCCTCCATATACGGACCGCTTCCATATAGGGATCGCCTCCATATACGGAACGCCTTTATATACGGACCGCCTCCAAATACAGACCGCCTTCGTATACGGACCGCCTCGATATACGGACCGCCTCCATATACTGATCGCCTCCATATACGGATCACCTCCATATGCGGACCGCCATTATATACGGACCGTCTCTAAATACAGACCGCCTTCGTATACGGACCGCCTACATATACGGACCGCTTCCATATAGGGATCGCCTCCATATACGGAACGCCTTTATATACGGACCGCCTTGATATACAGACCGCTTCCATATATTGATCGCCTCCATATACGGACCACCTTCATATACAGACCGCCATTATATACGGAACGTCTCTAAATACAGACCGCCTTTGTATACGAACCGCCTCCATATACAGACCGCCTCTCTATACGGACCGCTTCCATATAGGGATCGCCTTCATATACGGAACGCCTTTATATACGGATCGCCTCCAAATACAGACCGTCTTCGTATACGGACCGACTCGATATACAGACCGCTTCCATATATTGATCGCCTCCATATACGGACCACCTCCATATACAGACCGCCATTATATACGGAACGTCTCTAAATACAGACCGCCTTTGTATACGGACCGCCTCCATATACAGACCGCCTCTATATGTAAACCGCTTCCATATGCGGACCGGCTTTATATACGGACCGCTTCCAAATACAGACCGCCTTCGTATACGAACCGCCTCCATATACAGACCGCCATTATATACGGACGGTCTCTAAATGCAGACCGCCTTCGTATATGAACCGCCTCCATATACAGACCGCCTCTATATTTAAACCGCTTCCATATGCGGACCGGCTCCATATATAGACCGCCTGCATATATAGAGTCCATTTATAGACCGCCTCCATGTACAGATCGCCTTTATATACAGACCGCCCCATATATAGGTCGTCTCTATATATAGACCGCTTCCATAACCGAAGCTAACCAAAATGGGCCAAAGTGAAGTATATAGACCGTCTAAACGGTAAACCGCCTCGGTGGTGGTTGGCATCACCAAAGCGATAACCGAAACTAACCAAAATGGACCAAAGTGACGTATTGCCTAGACCGTGAACCTCTTCGGTGGCGGTTTGATATCTAATTAAAACTAATAAAAAAACCGAGCAAAATTTAGAATTGAACATCACCATGATTCAGAAC